CAACTAGTCAAACAAGTGATTATCAACCATAAACCTTTAGTGCATATTCAAACACTATTACCTCATTATTATAACCAATTTCATTATAATTAATCATATTATTTTGACTATTTAATGTCATAACAATACAATTTAAAACACCTTGTAAGTCAATTATGATGATAAATAAWTAATTAATTGTGAATGGATGCTCATAATTGGTTTTCCAACACCTTCAAACTACATCTATTGTTTATAGCTGGTAATGTCTCTCATGTGGATGAAGAGAAACGTAAGAAGAGATTTTTATCCTTAGATTAATCCTAATTGAATGTGAATTCTAATGAGGTGCATCAGATCAATTCCCTTATAAGACACAATTAATCAGTAGACATGAGATTGAAATAGATCAAGGGTTCAGATATCTTACCACGCTTTCCATCAAAACTTTTATTCTCACACGATATTTCGTCTATTAATTATATGTGTATGTATATTATGTACATTTTAAGATTTGTTTTCAAAATTAAAATTAAAATGAATAAACATATAAAAAAAGACTTTTAAATAAGAAATATATATATATATATATATATATATATATATATATTATATTTTGGAATAGATCTAGACAATAATGGAAGGTGTGTGTGGACTGAGTCAAGCAAAGACATGGAAACTCGTTAAATGCATCCAGAAGAAACCCATTGACTTGGATCCCACTTACCTACTCCCGAATTTGACATTTACATTTTAGAAGCTTATTACATACATACATACATATACATATATATATATATATACATATATATATATATATATATATAAACACATACATATATATTTCAAACAATTAAAATTCCATGAGTAAACTATACACTTGGTCCATGTGGTTTGTTGTATGTAACATTTTTCATACCTATAGTTTTAAAAATACAAATGAGCATCATAGTTTGCAAAAACATCTAGATTTGGTCCCTCCATCTAATGATTGTTAAGAAGTCGTTAAGTAAAGGATATTTTAGACTTTTTTTTATGTTTTTGTTTTATTTTCTATTAAAGTTTAGATTCTTGTAGAAGGATACTGCAACAATGACGTGTCCCGCTCATCAATTTCCCAAAAAACTTCACACATCCGACCAGCTTCTTTAGCCAAGCTTCCAGCCCTGGCAAAGCTTTCGGCTATAAAATTCCCCGACCAAACTTTCAACCATATTCTTGTCAAATACAAGCACCAACATCAAATCCAAACGCCAAAACCAAACCTCAATCCAAATCTTAAAAACACAAATCAAATCAACATCAAACTCCTAGTGAAAACTTAACCCATGAGATCAAATCAAAAACAAAATGAAAACCCATATCCCAAAACCTAATCAATGAAACAATAAATAAAAATAAAAAACCTCATCACGTGCCTTCTCCCACAAGTCCCTTACCTTACCATTTTTCTGTTGTATATATCGAGAGGCCATAATTAGTGATCATCCAAATTGAACTATCAACGATATAAGTGTTGAAAGGAAACGTTTTATGAGTGAGTTCTGCATCGAGGGGGGGGGGTGATATGAGGGTCTACATCATAGAGGGAGGTGAGGTCCAAATCGTGGGTGAGGTTCTACACAACATCCTTGAAGAAGTGGGGAAAATAGATAAATGACGTGAATCGGGAAAGAGGAGGCCAGGAGGGGAAAGAGTTGGTCAAAGATCAAAGAATCAACGATGCCATGTCTATTTGGTCCCTATGCATGCGAAATATATAGTACTTCTGTTTTGTTTTTCAAAACARAAGAATGGGATAGAAGTGAACAAAGAAGTCTAAAACACCCTTTACTTAACAATCTTTTTTAATAGTCGTTAGAGTGAGGGACTAAATACAAATGCTTTCACAAACCATGATAGCCTTCTTGTATTTTGAAAACTATAGGAACAAAATATGGTATATTTGACAAACTACAGGGACCAAATCTGTAGTTTACTCGGATTCTATTTATCCACTTTCTTCTAGCACAAAAAAGTAGGAGAGAAAAGGTGTGGTCAAATARGCGGAACACGCCAAGATTTGGCTTGGAAACAGCTAATCGGCGGCTTCTCTCTCTCCTCCACACGCGCCTAGTTCATTGACAAATACAAAAAGTCAAATCTAGAGTCATTCAACTAATTTCATAAAATTAAACCAAAAGTTACTTTTATAATGTAACAAGATACATCTCAATTTTAATGTTTCGTTTTTTTAATAACATCAACTGAGACCAAATAGACATGGCGTCGTTGTACTTACACACAATTTATCAGTAATCTTTGCACAAATTCAAACATGAAGCTTTAATAAGTTGTACTTRCGCGYAATTTATCAGTAAYCTTGAATTTCAAGTAATATGCATCAATAAACARTACTTCATRCATAAAAAATAGTTTTTAAGAGTTTTTGTCAAATGCTTTATAATATAACGTAAATAAATCTTAACGTACCAAACAACTTTATTTTAGTATCATTTTATGATTTTATGAGTCTCGTAAAAATACGTTGGCTTCATGTGAACCGAACCCTGTACCTAGTGCTAATAAGTCAAAACGTTTAACCGTTAAGACCATACAGTGAAAAATAATGTGGGTATTAGGTACAATATTGTACTATTATAGAAAAAACACATTTAAAATAAGAAAAAAAATGATGGTTGCTTTTGTTGAATATTCTTCATACCCATCATCATCTCTTTACTATAAAACCAACCACCCACCATTTCTCTAATCCCATCCATTTTATCCCCTTCCAATTCAATTCATTTTTTGCATTTTAATCGAACATGAGGATGAAGAAAGCATCAAGAACATCGTGGTTAACAAGCTGTTTTTACAAGAATCAAGAGCCTACGTCTTTCAAGATCACGGAATCACGAGCAGCGAAGAAGAAGAAGGAGGTCGACGACGTGGTCGTTGCGTCCCGGAATTCGGTTCCAAGCCGGGTAACGTATTCGGAATTGAGCAACAGCTCGGCGTTGCCTGAGGATTTATCGAACTCGTTAGCTGGATCGAACCTCTATAACTTCACTGTACTTGAGCTTAAGATCATCACACAGTCGTTTTCTTCGTGCAATATATTGGGTGAAGGTGGATTTGGACCAGTTTATAAAGGCTTCATTGATGATAAACTTAGACCTGGTTTGAAACCTCAGCCTGTTGCTGTTAAATCGCTTAACCAAGAAGGCGGACAAGGTCATCGGGAATGGCTGGTAGGTACCTATATCTATCTATCTATATATATATATATATATATATATATCTATATATATATATATATATATATTCATAATGAATATCATAGTATATTCATATGTGAATAATTCATTAAATAGTTGAATAATGGTTTGATTAAAGATTTATTCCATCAAATTCAACAGACAGAAGTGATATATCTTGGGCAAATGAGACACCCACATTTGGTGAAGTTGATTGGATACTGCTTTGAAGATGAACACAGGCTTCTGGTCTATGAGTATATGCCACGTGGCAGCTTAGAGAACCAACTCTTTCGAAGTAAGTTCCAAATTAAGTTCCCATATTTTATGTTATTAATTAGACTGTATCTTTTTCTTAATCGAGTTTAATTAACAATCGTACAGGATTTTCGGTTTCTCTTCCATGGTCGACACGAATGAACATTGCTCTAGGAGCTGCGAAAGGGCTTGCGTTTCTTCACGAAGCGAGGAATCCTGTTATATATCGTGATTTCAAAGCATCCAACATTTTGTTAGACTCAGTAAGCGAAATTTCTAATCATGATTGATTAATCTCGCGTTTATTCTATTCACAATGAATGTCGTTAAATTAGCCTTTTGTTGGTTTAATTTTCTAGCACTGAACATCGTTTTTTCTTCTTCTTCAAGGACTACACGGCTAAACTTTCGGACTTTGGACTTGCTAAAGATGGTCCCGAAGGAGACGACACTCATGTTTCTACTCGAGTGATGGGCACACATGGCTACGCGGCTCCTGAATACCTCATGACAGGTAATAATTTACATGAATTTCATTTTAAGTACCATTACAACAAAAGCTGCTTGTTTTTTTTAACAACTTTTCAAGTAATGTTTATATAGAAACTGATATGACAACTTATCCTAAAAACCCTGATAGGACAGTGCAAAAACGTTCAATCAACTTATTGTAACACATTTATAAATATGACTCACAATTTTTTGTTTCTGTAAACATAAGTCCTATAAAACTGTCTATTATGAAATTTAGACATTTAACATTGTATAAAGTTGTTTTTTATTGTAATGTATGTAGACCAATGAAATGTTTCTTGATATACCAATTCGCTGAACCTGGATTTTGATGTGGTTGTTTTCTTTAGGTCACTTGACAGCTGCAAGCGATGTGTACAGTTTTGGAGTTGTTCTGGTTGAGCTTCTAACGGGTCGAAAATCGATGGACAAGAGCCTACCGAGCCGAGAACAGAACCTAGCCGATTGGGCTAGACCTCAACTCAAAGGTGCTAGGAAACTCAACCGAATAATGGACCCAAGACTCGAAGGTCAATACTCGGAAACCGGGGCTCAAGAGGCAGCAGAACTGGCTTACCAATGCCTTAGCCATAGACCAAAGGCAAGACCAACCATGACCATGGTGGTTGAAACAATCGAGCTACTAAAGAAATTTAACGAGTTGCCAGTTGAAACTTTTGTTTACATTGCCCCAACTGAAATCAAGATCGATAGTCCAGAGAAGGAGGAGGAGAAAAAAGATAGTAAAAGAGACATGGATGGACACCACCACCACCGACAACATAATGGAAGACACCGCCGGACTAAATCTCCCATGGTCCATTCTGAGATAGATTTATATAGAAACCTCAGCGCCGGGATGGATTACCGCCGTAACAAAGATTTAAAGGACGATATATAGATACATACATATATATATATATAGAGAGAGAGAGAGAGAGAGAGAGTCGGGCAACGCATTAAAGCTGTAAATGTAGAGATTGTAAACGCAAAATTATAGTTTGAGTTGATTACATTTTTTGGTTTTGTTGGAAACTTTAGATTTTCGTTCATATAATTTAAAGTTTATAAATTCTTTCATGTAGTTTCGATTTTGCTTTGGATTTGGTTTATGGGTCCGTTAAGTCGCACTCACGTGCCAAACATATAAGGACAAATTGGTCATTTTACCTTTTTTCCGGTGTACAACCTTATAATGCATATGTTCACAAGGATTGTGATGTATTTACATAGGAAGACACAACATATTTACAAGCATTGAACCCTGAAATCACTAAATGAGTTTACTAGCAATAAACCCAAGGAGAAAAAGAAAAGAATTCTTGGGTTTTGGTTAATAATAACGAACTAATGAAAAAGCTAAACGTCTATATCGGGCAACTAACAAGCAATCTTGAGACCCGTTGGTCGAAAAAGAAACAAGCCCAAAACCAAATCAAAACAAAAATTACTAAAAACATAAAAACGTTGTTTGAGGGCCAAATGACCGAAAAAGCCCATTCGTCATTATGAATATGAAATGATGTGTTCCGTTTGTTGGCCCATTTCGTTTCAAAAGACATATTTTAATATTTATAGAAAACCGTATGAAAGATATTTTTTTTGACTTTTGACTTTTGATCCTCCATTTTAGAAAAACTGTTGGAGATGCACTTAGAAACCAAAATTAAGTTCGTTCCTCGAAAATAATAAGTTTCAAGGTGGGTTTTTACACTAAAGATTTGGTGGAACTTGACTTAGATATGAGAAACCTTGTCTCGTGTAGGAGCCAAAATGAAATTGACCCACTTAATAAACACCAACTCTTGAGCATTACATGAATCATTTAAGAGTTGAACGTTGATATGTGGTTGTACTTAGTGGGCTCCATTTGACATAATTATAGATATCTGTATTTATATTATATCTTGAATTTTTAACCAATTAAGGATATTGTATAAGTTCTTAATGCTTACAACCTCCAACGATCTTCATTCTTCCATCAAATTAGTATAAGTAATCGTATATGAACTAAAAGACATTTAAAAAATGAGTTCCTTTTTTTATAAATTATATCATTATAATCGTCTCCTCAATACTTTCAAATTGAGCTCAATATTGAATATTTTTGAATTTAATAATATTATTAAATATCATGAATGCTTAGGAATTAATTTGTTTCATATCCATACATTTTTTATTTTTCATTTTACATCTTTATCATATTAAAAATTATGTTTTTTTCCTTATCTTATACACATTATACCATTATTATACTAATTATAAGGGTATAAAATATAATTTGAAATTGAAATTGATTTGATGGAATATCGTGGGAGGTTGTAAGCTTTAAGAGTTTGTACAACATCCTTAATTGGTTGTACCTCTTAAAAATTCAAGATAATCGTAACTCGTCTTTTTTAATATACTATAGATAAGCTAACTTATTTTTTTTTTCCAAATAATGCTTAAACTGATTTAGTTGATGTTTGCTTGGATTTTTCTGATTAATTGTTCATGGTATAATTATTAGCACCATACTTTTTGAGACTGTTTGCAGACCTCTATCATATATAAGTACATTGCAATGTCCAAAAAGTCAAGGTATATCTTTATATTTTTAATCTATTATTTCAGTAAGAAGACATTAAATACGTAAGAAAAATCAAATACCACGTTACAAATTTGCGTGTAGATCCGTGCATGCCRCAAGCTTTAACGTCGTGCAATACATGAGCCTTGACGCGCTGTTGATTGAGCCTTTTAGAACAGTCGTTTCTATTTATTATCCTTCTTAGATTTGATTATTAAAGATTTTCTTTATTGAGGAATATGTTTTGTGAAATATCAACCAATTTATGTGGTAAATCATCTTTTTAATACGAAGCCATATTTTTCCAAGTTAACGTTTTGTATTGCTTTTCATAAATAGTTCCTTTATGGTATATGAGAGTCCAATTGATTTGCTTCATTTTACTATCGGTCTATTTTATACAAGAATTCCTATTTTTTCTGCCAATTTATTTATATATATATATATATATATATATACTAGAAGGGTACTCGCAATGCAACGAGATACATCTTGATTTTATTGTTTCGTTTTATATTTTGGGTCTATCGATGTTATAATGCGACTTTATGTGGTTTGAAAAAAAATATTTTTATTTTTAAATGAAATATAAATTTAAAGATATTATAAAATTTTGAAAAAAATAAGCAATATCACATATGATAACAATAAAAAAGAGACGTTGGGATGACAAAGTGCATCATGC